CCTGGTCTGGTAGCTGCTTCTGAAGTGCTTAGATCATTAATACAGATATTACATTTTAAACTTAAGATCAGTATGAACATGCTACACATCTTAGATCAGTTAGATTCTCCACAATTCAATCGTTCAGTTCATTTAACGGAAACAACAAACCCCAAAGTCTGATTCTTATAGATTTTCTGGTGTAACCTGCATGGTACAAGAGATTTAAAGGAAAAAAGAAGTGCCGACTCCTGTTACCTTTTGAAGCCTCGTTAAATCCGAATGTGTCTGTTCCTTGATTATTTATCATCCTTCCACTGAAAAAAAGAATCAAAACAGCTTTTCATAAAAATGAATCCAAGTTGTGAATCCTGTCATGTGAAGTCCATCGCTCTCTGTCCGCTAACTTCTGCCACGCTTCTCTCATCCTGCACCCTGTTGTCATTTTCGTTACGTTGCTGCTTTCAAAATAAAAGCGCATAAACCGCCTGTCGGAGCTAGGTCAAATGAATGACGTGCATTTCATATATTTAAAAAAAAAAGTAATATTTAGTTTGAAACTAATTATTTTTTTCATATTGGCCTATTTCAGTTTTGAGCGAGAGGAATTAAAGGCCTGTCCCATATGGACGCCTGTCCCAAATATAGACCGGGTCAATTCAGTGATTTTAGCAAATAAAATTAAACTGACTGAAGCGATTATAAAATGTTTCATCTCAGCCGCAGCCAGTAATGGACTATGTCTCATTCAGAGTTTATACACACACACACACACACACACACACACACACACACACACACACACACACACACACACACACAAACAGAGGGTTATTCACAAGAGACTCTGATGAGGGAGTGTAGAGAGAGAGGCCTGTGTGTTCACTCATCCGTCTCATTCTGTCGTTCTTTGTCTTTCACTCTCTTCCCCTTTTTTCTCTGAATTTCTCTGGTCTCATGATTGGCTACGGCTGATAAGAGGAAGTGTTTTTTGTGAATGCTGTTGTGTTGTGCGGTAGAGATGTGACGGGCCTGGCGATTTTAAATACGTCAGCCGGACGAGCGCCATCAATTCCTCATTTCTGTATTTCAACATCATCACGTCTTTTTGTGAGTTTGTGTGAGCGTGCTCGTGCGCGCAGGAGAGGAAAACACGAATACACGGCCTGGATAAACAGGTCAAAGGCCGACACACAGGCAGGCCAGACGCATGAATCAAACCCTCGAGGAAAAAGAAAAGGCCGGAAAAAAAACACGCCGACAGTCGGTCATTAAGTTGCTTTGTGTAAATCCTTGTAGAAAAGCTGTGAGAGCTTCGCCTCAGCAGTTGACTAATAATTCCAAGGACGTGGAGAGACAGAAGAAGTAAATGCTAAGGAGTTGATTAACGCTGCCTGAAAGGAGGGAAGAGAGAGTGGAAGAGACAAAGAGAGGAAAAGTAAAGGATGCTATAAAAGAATACCTCTGTCTGAAATTTAAATCTTTTTTGGAGCTACGAAAAGTGGCTTGTAAATATATATTTCTCACGCAATTGAATTAAAACTAACCGTAATCCTTTTTTAAACACAAAAATCACAAACGCCACATGACGGCAGCTGTGTTTGCCTATGTGTGCAACCCCCCCCACCCAGGGATTAATACCTGGGTTGGCATGTCAACTGTGACGCGGGGCCTCCGCCATGGGAGGAAACCAGGATAAGAGGGTGAACATATCAAAGCGCAAGAGTGAAGTTGTTCTTTTTTTTACCAATAAATATTTGTAATCTACAAAATGCACCTAGAAGGGTATTAAGAAACGTTATTACTGCCCCACAGTGCAACATTACAGCAGTATGAGCTGGGGATTGATTGCACTGTTGATCAATACCAGTGACTCAACAATTTCCTGGCCAGCTGCTGAGGTTTCTGGTGATAATGTGGGAGAGGAAGAGGTGAATGAGTATAGGAGAGAGGGGGAGAAAGAGAGTTGAATGGGTGTATAGGAGAGAGAGGAGAGGCTTAGCCGATAATTCTTCTTAAAGCTCAGATGAACAGCTGATGCACCATGCACTTAATTCAATTACACAAACTCCCTGTGGACGGGGGTGTGTGTGTGTGTGTGTGTGTGTGTGTGTTTACGACGATGTGGCTTCCCGTTTTAAGAGCACTGAGTAGAAAAACTGACAGAAAGGAATAGAAACACATCGTCACACATTACCAGCCAGCGATCACTCCCTGTGGTTCTTATGTGTGAATGCCTCTCCAACACAAGATTGTTCTTTATATATAAACTCACTGGAGGCGGGGGCTGTGGCTTATGGGTAGAGCGGTTGTCCACTAACCGGTGGCTCGATCCCAGGCTTCCCCAGGCTGCATGTTGACGTGTCCTTGGGCAAGACACTAAACCCCAAATTGTTGTGTGATTGTGTATGAATGTTATTTCCTTTCTGATGTGCAATGGGCTTAGTCTCTCCGCCATCAGGTGTGTGAATGTGATGTGGTGTAAAAGTCCTTTGAGTTGTCGCAAAGACCAGAAAGGTGCTATACCAGCACAGAGCTTTTACATTTACGTCAGGGGTTTAAAAATATTTGCAGGCAGGATGACTGCAGCTGTGCATCTCTGCCTCTTGAGTTAAAGGATCATTTTTAAACCTGGGCCCTATTTTCACATATTTTGGTGGTTAAATAACTAGTAGGTGCTGAAATCTCGTGAGGGGCGAGTTGTTGCAGGAAATGACAGTGTAAAAGAGGAGTTTGTGAACGTAGACGAGCTGCAAGTTCATCACATACACCTGTTCTTGTGTATTAGTAGTTATTTTAATGTCTTTTGAAGTAGTCATTGTCTTAACTTGGCACAAAACTGTGTGTGTGTGCAAAAGCAAACTAAACTGGTGTTTTTCCTCAGGGGACATTGAGTACCAGGAATCTGTCTCTGATATCTGTGAAAACACACAACTCCTCGGGCGACTGTAAAGTTATGTCATCGTGAGAGTGTTGTTGAAGGCAAATTCCTTGAAGGAAACTCCACCCTTTTTGTTTGTTTTTTTTTAGAAAAAAGGTTGACAAACAAATGAAGCAGGAAGAAAATCATATTTTCTCATGTGTGGTGCTGCTGACATGTTGAACTGGTCGTACTCAGCAGCTGCTGAAAGGAGATAATTTAAATTCACTATGAAGCAGGGCATGTGTAAGTCACTTAGTCATGTTAATTAAATGTGTAGGTCTGTACATCTTCCACCCTATTTTCCTTTTTTAATAACTGATTCCTTAGTGCTTTATTAAAGAATGTACACATGCATTAGCTGTAACCACCTGAATCAGTCAGTCTATACCATGTCTCCCTCTGTTGTACTTCCTTATTGCACACGAGTTCAACTCGCTGCAGCTCCTCACATCAGCACAAAAAGCAAAATATCAACAGAGGGAGAAAGAGAACGCTGCATCGCTTCATACATGGCAGCTACACAGCGTAACATAACACAAGCCTGGTGCATTCAGGAGTGTAGTCAAATAAAAATGTATTGAAAGCCAGTTTACTCACATTTAAATTTTTGGATCACGTGTTTATTTTATTTTGCACAGCTGCACAAATCTTTATATTTGTTTGTCAGTTAAGTACAGGACATAGATTCTGCTGGAGTGTACAAATAAGGAAGTGTAAGCGTAAGAACATGAGAGATTGGGATTGTATCTGGTTTTATATTACGGTAACGGAGATGGCGAGATGAGGAAGGAGTGTCAGCTACAAAAATGAAGGCATCAATGAATTCCTGCTTTTGTATTCTTGTTGTTCTCTCTCTTCTCTTCCTCTCTTTCTTTTTCCTGTGCTTTTACTTTTTTTCCACCGGTTTGTAATTAATTCTTTAAGAATTTTGAACAAGACGGGTCGCTCAAGGGTTCACAGAGCAATAATTGACACCAACACTAGTATAACAAAACCAAATACTAATATATTAGTTGGTACCATTCTTCCCCTCTGTCTTTCTTGTCGTTTCCTCCCTCTACGCCCCGCATCTCCTGTGCATTGTTAATTCCCCTTATTTTCTATTTTGGGATCAGTTTCCTGCTGACACACACACATTTTGTCATGCACTCCACATACACGCTCTTCCATGGAAAGTCACATTTCCCCACCAGGGTCAGAATGTCTCACTTTGTCGCTAATAACCGCACCAAAACAACTGATGATGGATGATTGGCTTGATTGCATTTCTTTTAACACTTCACAGAGGCTGTATGTAGGGGGTCTTCCCCAAAGTGACTTGAGATTTCACTTGGTATTTTCTATGATTTCTTAGATTTTAATTCATTTCTGTGGTGACCCATCAGCATGGTCCACTACGATGCATCTAGCCCCGACACTTCCCTTCTGTAATCTCTTAAAATGGAGCTCACAAAGAGAGAGAGAGGGGGGGGGGGAGCATCAGCGTGGCAGGATGAGGCAGCAGTCTGGAGCTGTGATGGATGGGGGAGGGCGGGGGGGGTTGTGCAGGATGCAGGAGGAGAGCACACCCAGGGGAGGAGGCCCCACTGTCACACACAGTGAGACACTCCCTTGGGTGGCCCCAGGTCTAGAGGTGGTCGGAAAGATGAGTGTGAGGGAGTGTAAGATGGATGAAGGGGAACGTTGGGTGTATATATGCCAGCTGTGGACTGTATGAATTAACTGAAGAACAATTAATTTGATGAATGAATGAGAAATAAATAAGATGAAGAAGTGAGAAGGTTATTTTCTTCTTTTCCTTAACTCATAAAGTCGAGCACAAAGAAAAGAGCCGCAACTCATATGTATTATTAACTTCAAGTGCGTTTATACTGTAGTATTGTTCCCTGTGTCTCCATATATTGATAGTAACCATACATTGGTCATACTTCCACAAACCTTGCATGTTAATATTTTATAATTTACTGTTCTTCTGTGTAAATATATATAATAAATGACTAAGTAAACGTGTATGTGAAATATTCTTAATAGATGTCTAATCTTATAATTGAGACTTGACAAGAATAATGGAGTCTGACTATTTTAATTTTTTTTCCAGCTGTTTCGGGAGGTGCGCATCATGAAAACTCTCAACCATCCCAACATAGGTGAGTTACACTCCAGAGAATTCATTTGTGTGTGTGTGTGTGTGTTTCCAAGCCGGCCTTCGTGTTAACATCTCGTCCTCTGTGTGTTACAGTGCAGTTGTTTGAGGTGATTGAGACTGAGAAGACTCTTTACCTGATTATGGAGTACGCCAGCGGAGGTGAGTGACGTCCTCGGCCTCCTCATCGTCATGGCCAAGTATTTAGTGACGCCAATTAGATTGATTACTTTGACTCAATCATACAGTGACCGATAAAGTAATTCATTTAAGGCATAAACGACTGAGTTCAGTCCCTTTGTCTCCTTTTTCATTAGTGAGATCTCATGTCACTTTGCTTTACTGCTCTAATGTTTTCTCCACTGTCTTTCTTTGTGCTCTTTAACATTGTTCAGCTGTTTCCCATGCACTCTTCTATTTTTTACAGCTTCTCTATTTTTCTTTCTTCTCTTCTCATGATCCCTTAATCTCCCTCGCTGCTCTCTCTCTATGTTGTGAGATCTCTTACCTCTGATACCTAATAAGGCGGCGGCAGCGACTCACCAGCCAGCATGCTGCTCTGTTCAACTCAACCTCAGCCTGTTTGAATATTTAGGATCACTAGGGTCAGATGTTTGGCTTGATTGCACACCCACAAATTAAACTACTGGAAGTCACCGTTAATTCTTTCCTTTCCCACCAGTGTCCATGTATTAATTTCATCCGGGACTCATATATCAGGTCAAATATATCCCTTTACAGCTTTGCTACATTTGCTCAAAAACTAATTTGCACAATCTTAACGGAGACCTGACTCTAAACTCATAAACCCCCAGCAGAGTGTTGGATATTTTATAACATTTAAACACGCATGAACACATAATGAAAGTGTTGGCGTCAGAGCTGGAGGGAGTTAAAATTTGCTAAGAAGTGTGCAGGGGTGTCACGAGTGGTGAATACCGAAAAATAGCACCAAAACTGTGACACGCTAGTTGTTAGTGACAGTTTCAAGTTGGATATTATTAGAAAGTGTATGCAGCATGGGACTATCGAAGACTATGTCCATGCTCGCCTGAACTACAGCAAGTCTACATACTGTTTGTTTTTCTTCCAGGCGAAGTGTTCGACTACCTCGTGGCTCATGGTAGAATGAAGGAGAAAGAGGCCAGAGCCAAGTTCCGACAGGTGAGTTAAACCCTCATCCCTTCCCTCACCCGTGTGTCTGATTTTGTGTCCAAGGTGTAGGGGAAACCTAAGCAAAAAGGGGAGGAGATACTAACTGTTGACAGCCAGCAGTTCCTTGTGGTTAGAAATCTGAGCAGAACAATATAAAGTCTGGACTGAGTTAAGAAGAGTGGAAGAAGGCTGATATAATCATTATGCTTACCAAAAGTTACAGAAGCTGAAATCTGAGCCTCTTGTGGGTTCATGTGGCATATTGTTTATAGTCCCTGCTTTGTTTGTAACTGGGCAGTGTGAACCTGAAGCAGACCAAAATAGACTTACAGTAAACTTTCCCACTGTGCTTCAGACCAAATAAATCAAACATTAGGTGTGATCGCACAGCAAAAAATTCATTAATCTGCTTTGTATTCTTAATGTTGCGTCATGGTGTTGGTGTGTTAATGGAGTTCCTAGTTTAGCCACTATTTACATGTAAGGACAAACATAAAGTTCTATTATCTTCCCTCATTCGATCTCTTTTTTTTTTTTCCTGTCTCCTTGCTCAGATTGTCTCAGCGGTGCACTACTGTCATCAGAAGAACATTGTTCACAGAGACTTGAAGGTGACAACACAAAGACATAATCAATCATTAACACTTAATAAACAGACTGTATTCATTTATTCATTTTACTCATTAATGACTGACAAAGTAACAGACGTTTACTTTAAAGCTGATATCTGTAACTACTTCTATGGCATCAAGAGGAAACTGAAATGATGTTCGAACAATAAATACTGTTTATTATCTGCTATTTGCAAAAGCCACCAAAGTGTAATATCCTCTTCACGTGCAGAAAGGGCATCGCTTCCTGTATGACAGCACTAAAATAAATTATGGACTCCAGCTGTGTTTTTTTGTGTTTCACTGTCCATGTTGTTTTGTACAGGCGGAGAACTTGCTACTAGACGCTGACTCCAACATCAAAATAGCCGACTTTGGCTTCAGTAACGAATTCTCTGCGGGCAGTAAACTGGACACGTTCTGCGGCTCCCCGCCATATGCCGCCCCAGAACTCTTCCAGGGGAAGAAGTACGACGGTCCGGAGGTGGACATCTGGAGCCTTGGTGTCATCTTGTACACGCTGGTCAGCGGGTCCTTGCCCTTTGACGGACAGAACCTAAAGGTGGGTGACGTGGAGGCCGTCTTAGTCCAGCATACATTTCCAGTTTTGCTTCCGAGCTTTAGCTGTGCTTTGTTGTTTTCCTTTGAAGGCCAGAACACTGGGGAATGTAAAAACACTGGAGACGTGTTGTTATGCCTTCTATTAAACAACTTGCTAGTAAATATAAACTGATATTCATTTTGCAGAATTATGAGAATCATTAGAGATCGCAAGTGCTTACACATTCAAAATTGACGCGTGTCCTTGGCGTCCAACAAGTGTTTTAAATCCTGCATTGTTTACATCCATGTTTACTAGCTTGCAGTCGTCTTCTTCTACCCTGCCATTGGTGGCACATTGCAGCATATCTCGGCATGTTACCGGCACCTGTTGGTCATAGGAATAGTGTGAAACCATTGGCGAATAACGTATGTGCGCGCATGTCCTTGTGCACAGAATAATCGAAATGGGAACACACTAATTGAAAAAACAGCTCCATAGTGCAAATATCCTTTAATCAAAATATAACACTAAAAGAAAAAGTATTCCACATCTTCCAGTGAGTCCCTTTTGTGCAAACTCATTGTGTATCAATGTGTGTTGTGTTCAGGAGCTTCGGGAGCGTGTTTTGAGGGGAAAATATCGCGTGCCCTTCTACATGTCTACAGACTGCGAGGGAATCCTGCGCCGCTTCCTGGTCCTCAATCCTGCCAAGCGCTGCTCGCTGGAGGTGAGGAGGAAACTTTACAACAGCGTGATTGGGGGGGCATGTTCATAATGACCACATTAGTGTCTAAATATCGAGTAGTAAAAGTATAATCGCTCTTCATGTCTAATGTCTGTGATTCGATCTTTCTTGGATAACTATAATAAATGAAAACACACAAAGATGAACAAAGGCACACAGATTTATTTGTTGTAAGGAAGAAGATGAACAACTGAACATACATACAATGCAAAATGTTGACGTTTCTAGTGTCAAAAAACAAAACATGTAAACTTTTTTACATGAAATTTGAGTGCTTTGTGTCTACACTGTATTGCCGTATTTCAAAATCTCTCTCTCCTTCTCTGTTCTCATCAGCAAATAATGAAAGATAAGTGGATTAATGTCGGCTATGACAGCGAGGAGCTGAAGCCCCACACAGAGCCTGTGGAGGACTTGAACGACACCAGCCGCATTGGTAAGAAACGCACACCTTTTAACATTAATTTATTTACTTAAAGAGGTGGTATTCTGCTTTTTGGCTTTTTCCCTCTTCTTCTTTATTGAGTTATATATCCTTTCTGTGCATGTAATAGGTTTGCAAAGTGAAAAACCCCAAAGTCCAGCCCAAAGGGAGTTCCCATCTCCCACAGAAAACTCCGCTCTGAACTGCCTGAAAACAGCTCGTTTGTAGTCCAGCCTTTACTTCCCTGTCTTGTGACATCACAATGAAAATGTCATAATGTTCATTGAGCGGCTACTCCGACACGCCCTCAAAAACAGCGGTGGAAAAACAGTGAGCTGCAGCACACGGCTCTCCTCTCCCTTCCAAACACTAGCTACCCTCCAGGCAGGCAGTGGACATAAAGTTGTTCCTGTGATGTAGAGACAGAGCTCAGTTAAAACTTTATGGATGAAAGATACTTTTGTTACAGATTAATAACTCACCGCTCTGAAACTCTTGCTCTAGTCGGCAACTGAACCGAAGCTGTTTACCGTCTTTTCGCTGACCTGCCCTTCTCTGCTTCTGATTGGCTAGTAGTCCTTAACTAGGAACTGCGCATGTGCAACTCCCAAAGATCATTTAGAGACAAGATGTATCACTCCATAGCTAAAACGAAGCCTTCAACACAGGGTGAAAAGAGGAGATGGAACAATGTGCAGTATGAAAAAAATATGGTGTTTTTTTGAAAATTAAATCATGTAAAATTGTTCTGGTACAACCTCTAAATAAGATTTTGAACCTGAAAATGAGCATAATGCCACCTCTTTTAAGCATTGATCAAAATATGATTAACTGGTAACCGTCCGTTTATGAGTGGGATCATGTTGCAGGTTACAAAAACGGTAAACAGAATTATTTAATGAGGGTAAGATGAGAAGGTCTGGCTTAGGCTGCTGTCCAAAGAGTCGTCACCTGCCACCTTTTTTGTATTTGTGGGCAGTTACGGACACAGAAGTGGGTCATGTTCGAAACTTCCATTACGGACACATCATCAGTGCCTGCATGGCGACTTTTCTGGTGCACTGGCTTATTACATTTTGTAAGCCTACATACATGGTACTCCAGACATGTTGTTCTGGCACAAAGCTCTTGGCACATGTTTAGTGCTTGATCCATATGCAGGACCTGAACTTAAGCTTCACATCAAGCGGAGCACGGAGGGTGAACCTTTCATAATTGAACAGAAGATGAACCTGCGTGATTTCGGTGTAGCTGCTCCTAATGTCATTTGTCTCGTCCCAGATGTGATGGTTGGGATGGGCTTCACCAGGGAAGAGGTCAGAGAGTCGCTGGTCAGTCAGAAGTACAATGAGGTCACCGCCACGTACCTGCTGCTGGGACGCAAGAACGAGGTGAGTGTATCGGCGTTTGTTTTGGATTTCTTTGCAGATCTTTTTATATAGTTAGATGAATTATGGGTGTATTTGACAGTCTATATTATAAATGTTAAGCTCATGCACTATATAAAGTTATCACAAAATGAAATAAAATACTACAGTTTGGTAGATTCGGGATTGATATCCAATCTTAAATAGTTTACAGCTGGGGGAGGTCATTTAGTTGCAATCACATTCAAAATAGCAGAATCTGTTTTACTCAATGTAACAAAATGAATATATAATTTGTTGTGATTTTGGTCAAACCCTGATATAGACTGAGACATGAAACTTGGTTTTAGATGTGAATGGACTAACTTGGTCTTGGTTATAACATTGGGTTGTTGCGCTGAGAGAAGCCGTGAACAACCTACAACTTGTCTCTAGTCATGTTGTAAGTTTAATTCTTCTTTCTGTCTGTTTTTCTGTCTCTCAGGCGGAGGGCAATGAGTCTCGTTCAGGCAGCAGTCTCAGTCTAGCTCGAGTCCGACCCGGCACCATAACCAACGGAACCAGCAAACACACCACTTCCTCTTCCTCCTCTGGTGCACCTACTTCCTCCTCTGGCCACAAGGCACAGCGCAGCGCCTCCACTTACCACCGCCAGAGACGACACTCTGACTTCTGTAAGACAAGTGACATAGCTTGTTTTGTGGCGTAGAGTTTGATCCGTTCTGAAATTGAATGAAATGGTGACAGAAATCTTCCTCACTGAGAACTCTGTTAACCTGTCTCTCAGGTGGTCCCGCGGTTCCAGGATCGACGCACCCCAAGCGGAGTCCCAGTGGCGTAGGCGAAGGGGCGGGGCTTAAGGAAGAGCGGCTGTCGATCCGCAAGCCGAGCACCAACACCGTTGGCTCCCGTAGCATCCCAACCCCCTCCAGTCCCATGGTTAGCTCCGCCCACAACCCAAATAAGTCAGAGATACCCGACCGCCGCAAGGAAGTTACCTCGACCACAGTAAGGCCAAAATAATATATAGTAATATCCAGTCTGTTACATTTAGTCTCTTATCAATACAACATATTAGATGTCAGAATCCCAAAAGTTACATACTTCACCCAGCTGGGGCGGGGCGCGATGGAGATTATAGCTGTTCAGTAAGATTAGCATGAGAGAGAGAGAGAGAGAGAGTTGAAGACAGCAGCCAGATTAACCTGAGATTAACTCTTTAATGTTCTGATACTGTCTGAGGTCAAACTGTCAAGTATTTTTTGTTTACCTGCACGGAGCACCAGATGGGCAGGTTTTACCAAGTACAGCTTTTTTAAATGGTGTCAGATAAATTGTCATGCATATGAAGGAGTAATACATGTAAGTTTTAAGGCTCTCCTCGTGTTATGTGGTAAGGTAAAACACATTCTCTCGTCACATCAGATTAAAACAGACCATATACAGATATTCAGGACATCATTTCAGTAAATTGATTTGATTTTGGATTTCTGATTCTTCTTTCTCCAGAATAACATCCCTGCTAGTGCCATGACTCGAAGGAACACGTATGTGTGTACGGACCGATCCAACACTGATAGACACACTCTGCTGCAAAATGGCAAGGAAAACAGGTGAGAGGAGCCAAGCTGTCTGTGTCTCTTTGTTTGTATCTCTGCTTATCTTTTACAGTACACATGAGAGCCCTCACAAGATTAGCACATAGATTTGTCTTGTTTTTTTTTTTGTGGGAATTGGGACCACAGCCAGTGGACGTGGAGCATGTGTTTATAAACAAATAAGAAGCAATAATGAAGGTTTCGGCATCATCGCTACAAGTTCATACAGCCTAGAGCAAATTTGAGTCTTGTTTGCTGCCATTTTTGCTCTAAATTTCACCTCATGTTGATCTAAATTCCCTGAAAGACCTAAAGGGCTCAGCGTTGAGATTAGAATTGGGTTTAGGTTGGGGAATATGTCCAGGAAAAAAGCTCATTAACAGAATCAATTTTATAAAAACAAGCGTGGGCTGCTATTGTTGGCTATTAAATGTGAATGCAATGTAAAAACACGTAAGGGCAAGATGGAATTAATTGAGTAAATGAATTGCCCTGTCGCACTGTATTTAACCCAGTGTTGGAAATACATTCATATTCATATTAAATACAGTGTGAAAATGGTTGGTTTAGAAAGAGGTTCCACTGGTGCAGATTGTCTGTTTTTGAGAGTGTTTGGCCCCGGGGTGTTTGTCTCACATACATTTTGTCTCTTGAAGAGAGGATAAAGGGGCTTAAACTGTGCATGAGTGAGTTGCCTGTGTGTGTGTGTTTATGTGCCCAGTATGAACTGTCTGTTATGGCAGATGGTTGTCTGCTTGTCAGTCTCAGAGCATGGCAGTCTCTCTCTCTCTCTCTCTCCTCCCTCCCTCCCTCTTTTCCTATGGTCACTCACTCACATTCTCACTTTCATTCTAGCTGACCTGTTTTCCCTCTGTCTCTTTATCACTCTGTAATTTTGCCTCTCAGAGGGAGAGCGTCTGGCATCTGACCTCCAGTAAAATGTTCATGCAATGTTCAGACTGATAAGACTGATGGAGAGTTTTAAAATCTAAGACTAAAGCAACGAAGAACAACATGAATGACTGGACGTACAAGTAATTATGGAAGTAAAATGTGTCAAAGCTGCAACCGGCACGAAAGCATTGAACAAACATTCTCATGTGTACCAGCCATGATGCTTTATAAGCTACCAAACAGAAAAGAGACGACACACTATTACATTCAGGCTTTACAAGGAGGCAGTATTCTCCCGTTTAGCTCCATTTTCTGATCTAACAGAGTGGAACGAAGGACAGGTAGAAGGAGGGAAGGACGATTGGATGAGGAAAAGAGAGGGGGAGAGTAGAGGGTAAGGAAAACATGAGGGGGGGGTAGAAAAGGGGAGCTGAGAGCAGCAGGATGAAGTGAGGACTGGCATTGTGCCAACGTAACCCTCCACTTGCCTTAGAGGCTTGTCAATGTGATGCCAATGCCGTGCCAGAGTGGTTGATGCGGCAAACGCATGCATGGACACACGCAGTCACATTTAGTTAACAGAAAAGCAAATGTTCAATAGTGGCGAAAGTGCACAGGAGAGACACAAAACACTGATTATGTACACGACAGCATGTATTTTGTTTAAATAAAACATGCAGGTCCTTGGTCTATGATTACGCTGGTAGATAAGTCACCTCATGCCTAGACATACTGCATATGTTTCATAACAGTTTTATGTGCACATACACAGTCCTCATGTCCAGGAGAGAAAATATCCTGCTGAGATTATTTTATAATAATCCCTGTCTTCTCCAGATAGAAGTAACTTAACCTTTGAACCAGGTTTCACTGCAGGTGTACAATGCTTTCTTTTTATTTATCCACCGCTGATTCAGTCACAAATCAATGTCTCTTTTCAGGACTGACACGTAAATGATTTATACACTTAAATTTTACAAGCATCGTGCTGTACTTGTGGGAAAAATTAAACTACAAGTTAAACATCATTTTTTTCTCGTCCTTACCTTTTTCACCTGTTTTCAAACTTCGTTTCACAAGTGTCCCCCCGCCCCCTCTCTTTTCCTCTCCTCCTTCCATCCCCGGTGAGCCCCCCTGCAGGTAGCTGCAGTAGGCAGCAAGTTCACGTTGATGTTAAACGATTTTGCTCTGCAACAGCTGCGCTTCAACTTAGCCCGTCTAATGGTTCTGCCCCACTTGAGCCCTGTGTGGGTGTGTTATGTAGAGCGTTATGAAAAGCAGCCTCAGGCCACCAGCCAGCCGGGGAGTCAGGGGAGGAGAGGTGGGTGGGTGTGACAAAGTGTAAGTGTTGGCTGAAGAGAAGGGAGCAGGGCGAGATGCAGGGGGGCATGCAGAAAAATGAGAAGGGACCAGCGGGGAGTGAAATCTCCAAGGGTCAATTTTCAAAGATTAAGAATAACTGTTGGTCATGATGTGAAGAGCAGCTCGCTCTCTTGTCTCCCACTTTCTGTTGGTACTTGTGCTGCCTCAAAAGTCTTCAATCAATTCAATTTAAGACCTTACAAGTATTACAAAACTGAAATGCACCTGACAGAGGTCTTGAGTAGCATCTTAAAATCAAATTCTTTACACACTTATGTGGTCAACAAAATAAACAAAACAAAGCAAAAGCCATGTGGCCAAATATCCGTTTTTCTTTTCCTTCCATAATTTAGGGAAGAGGCATGATGGATCAGAAATACAGCGTGGAACTTGCTTATTGTGTTTTTTGTGTGTGTGGTTCAGTTGGTGTACTCATCATTTGCACATAACATAAATATGTTTTAATCCTGCTAATATTCTACATTCAAAATATTCCTTTCCGATGAAAAGACAAAAAAACTACGATTGATCCTTTTAACAAGTGTTCTCTGTGTATCCAAAGCCTCATATCCCTTATTCCTCTGTGCCAGTGTTTTCTAAAAACTATTAAAAACAGGGAGTCACACCATTGCACCTAAATGTTCCTTCTTTACAATGAACATATGCACTGTATTTTGTTCAATTGTCAATGTGAGATTGACTCAATACACTTGTCCTCTGCTGTAAATACTCACATGCCAGATGTGTATTAATATTAGGGTCGCACGATACTGGAAAAAACTGACATTGCAATATTTTTATTTTCTACGATTTATATTGTGATAATAATAAACATAAAAGCTGAAAAGTGTCTTTTTAGTCTAAATACGTTTTTTGAGTGCAAATGTCCTTTCTTGTGCTTTTATGCAATAAACATATTTTAAACCAAATGATAAAAATAAAAGCGCAGCTATGCACCAGCCCCCCTGAGTGCTTTTCAAAAGTTGCTTGAACAATATTGTAATTGCTGGTTGCAGAGCCTGCTTGTCGCTCACTAGCAACAAAATGTGTTTATCCAAGAATCCCTTAAATCAGATTGAATTATGTTACATCAGACAGACTTCACTTGTAGATTAGTCATGGAAAATGAGAACCGTGCAAGTTTTCCTTTTGTACCTATCAGGACAAAATGTAAAGGTTTTTTTAAAATTATTTAATTAAAACGAAGAGACCTCTGCCTAGATGTTTGGAAAACCAAGTTCCAAAATAATGGCAAAAGGTCCAGTAACATGATTTATATGTGATCCTGCACAGTTCTTGCACTTGCTAATTGAAATGATCTTGATTTTTTTTTCTCCTCCCTCCAGTTCTATATCCCACCGCCTTCCCCCCGCCTCCCCCTCAACTCACAGCATCGCCGGTGCCTCTGGGGTCTCCTCCTCGTCCTCCACACCCTCCTCCCGTTTATCCAGGGGATCCACGGTGAGGAGCACTTTCCACGGAGGGCAGATTAGAGACCGTCGGCCTCCCTCCCATGCTCCCCCAGGTTCCCCAACGCCGTCCCATGATGCCAGCCCGCTGCCCCACGCCAGGACCCGGGCCACGACCAACCTGCTGAGCAAACTCACCTCCAAGTTGACCCGCAGGTAAGGGGAGAAGCCGGGAGAAGGGTTAGGGGAGGCAAGACTGTAAGTAGAACAGGAAGAGAAATAATAACTCAGAAATCAAGAAACAGAATACAAATAAACCTTTTAACTGCAGAGTTTATTGGAATTTAAGTATTTTCAAGCACTGTGTATGTTTGACGATTACTGCTAACCATCCCAAATGTGGTGAAGTGATAGCCGACTGCTGTGTTTATTGGTTTGCAACTGGACAGTGTAGCTCTTTTGTTATAAACCTGTACATGAAGACCATTTAGTCTATAACCTTGCTGCCTCTCACCGTCTCTTCCTTAACCAGTACTAACCTGCCAGCCTTCCTTCACAAATAATAAATCTTTACAGGCTTCAGAATTTGTCCTCCTCAATCTCAGACCTGGGTCTAATAGTTTTTAAAAATCCTTCCAACTGTTTGTTTTACTAGCTTAAACTTAGTTGTTTGTTTGTTTGTTTTTTAAAACCCACACCTGCCAACAGTTGGAGGATATCCGCTATTGCTATTAATGTGTCTGCCCCATCTCACAGGAAACATAAAACAATTCTAGCTCTTTGAAATAGTAAATAAGAAATAAGATAAGACTTATACTGAAGAAAGCTGTGCTCAAAGATTCAGCTTGAAGCAGTAGGAACTAAAATTAGATTAAACCACAAATGATGTATCTCTTTATGTTGTTTCCCTTAGAAACGGATACACTCAAGATAGATGGCTAGTGTTTGAGTGGGTGGGACATACTACTGAAATTTGAGTTAATTTGGAAGTGAGAAGCATGAGTTTTACTGGATGGCAGTGGATGCAGTATTTCATCCCACAGGAGTGATGTCCAGTACTCGCCCCCACCGGCAATAGAGGAAAATACGTCCTGTGCACTCCTAACAGTGGCGTTAGATCCTGCGAGATACACAGGAGCCCAATCCTGTTGCATAAACCAGGTTCAGAAGAACCAGAATCAGATTATGCAGTTGGATATGAACTATTTTCTTGAATTTAACAAATTGTCCAATAGCAGTTAATCCCTCCCAAGTGGTACAAGTTGGTACAAACGAAAACCTATTTGACCCAGGTCTGCCGGTGAGGTGGACACGCTGTATGTCTTTCACAGTCTTGTTCTTTTCTGCTTACTGTTGCTTTATCTGTTTGTTTGATTCTTTAACAACTTTTACTTTTCCTTGCCAGTCACCTGCCAATCTTCTATCCTTCTTTTTCCTGAACTACAGTACATACAGTTTAATTTGTACTTCTCTGCCTCTTCTACCTGTGCACCTCTGACTGCCATCTCTATGTTGTCTTCCCCTCACTTGCTTTCTCTTTCATTCAATGTCTCTCTGTCTCTGCTGTTAATTTTCCTTTTTGCCATTCCTCTCATCCTCTCTTCATCTCCTTCTCTTCTTCCTCTCTCGTCCTAGGGTCACTCTTGACCCTTCTAAACGTCAGAGCTCAAACAAGTCCATGTCGGGCTGCACCCTCCCACAGGGGACAAAAACAGTTAGTAAGTCTTCCTTTCCCATGTTTTCTGGCTGCTTCTGTCTGTCTGACTGTCTGCCTGCTTGCCAGTACCCCGTCATCCTGTCCGCCCCTCATTCGCTGTCTGTCGCAGGTTGGAGTTTAGTTGTATAAACATTTATCTGAGGCAACGCTACTTTACAGGCAGGAATTTAATCAGTTACAGTCAACCTTTATGGTTCTGGCTCCAAGAAAAGCCCAGCTGTACTGATGCGAAGTGGAAAAACTCCAAAAATGTAAAATGTTGTCTTCCTTTTATTTCCCACATGAAGTGTGAGTCTCTCTTGCAAGTTTCTCATCAAATGTATGCTTCATCAAAAAGACACTTAAGGCTTAAAGAGAGTTCCTTAATTGAAAGAGGTCTTAAACGAAGTGGACAGTTAAAATCCAATGTAATTGCATATAACAGGATTGAGACTGATATATTGGATATAGTAAATTCTGGCAGTTAAATAGTTTATAGTTAAATTAACCTGATGGGAATGTTTGCTTGTCGCTTCAGCACCATCAGACCTGCAGCAAACGGTCACTACTGAAGCTCATCATCTTATCATCTCATGAAGGGAAAGTTTTGATTTTAGCGAAAACTAACTTTTAAACTTTTTTTTTCAATTGGTTTATCCATCCATCTATTTTCTGCCACTTAAGACAGGTTTTCCATCATACTTTGATACTTTTTCTGGTCTTATCGTGATACAGGAAGTTGGTGAGCACTGCAGAAACCCTGTCACCATTCAGTCCATCATAGTTATATGTTGAAGGGATATTTACCTCAGTATAGATTACTGTCGTTTTACAGAAGACAGTATATTTTCCTCAGGTCCGCTCTGTTTGCACAAATTCTGTTTTTCTATGTCCAGTAACAGGCAGAGGTGGATTAGAATATCCAGACTTTAAAGCATCTCTTTAGAAATGTATGCTAAGGTTTAAAAGCTCTGACCAAGCATGTTTAGGAGTCTTAATTGCTAGAGCCAAGTCTAAGAAACTACATCCCCAAAACTATGGTCCCAGTTTAAAGAAGTGTAACTCCTTATGCACGATTGTTTCTTCCTATAGAGCAGCTGTATCTCAAATTAGTGTGTTTGTGTGACTGAAACTCTAATCAGCAGCTGCCTGCCTGAATGTCTGTCTGTCTAGTTGGACTGTCTGTGTCTCTGCTGCTGCTTTACGATGTAGCACTCACTAGAGGCTGTCGGTTGTACTGCACCTTCCAACAAAACGCAAAACAGACATCGGTTTTCTGGAACAACTAGAGGTGAAGTTTGAGTTTTAGATGCAGGTTTTTACTTTGCACTTATTACTAGATAGTCTCTTCGCCTGTTTGCTTGTGTAGGCACAAATCCACAGTCACACGTGACACACACACACACACACTCGTTTTTAGATTAAACAACCCTATGTAGATGTTTGTGTTTCCCCTGGAGTATGTGAGTTTATTGCAACTAGTCTGAGTCATGTAATCAACACCATATGTTTGCTCGTGCTGTTAACAAAGCAGCAGTCCTTCAGCAGGAGAGGATACCGGACAGACAGGAAGCAGGGAGGCGTTATTGTCACAAGACAGAGGTTATTGAGGTAAACAGCTTTGTTACTGGTACAGGTAGTGTGCATTACTGTTTTAGGGGCAGTAACTGTATAATTGTATTTATGGCCAAAATAGACACCACTGTGAAACACTTCCTGATATCCAGCTTGATTGAAAATGTTTCAGTGTAGTTTTTGGAATCCATGCTTTAGAAGAGCAAAAGCTTCTTTATACGGCCAACTTTATGCATTTTTCTTTATCAAAAGGTGATTTTCTCTCACACACACACACACACACTCTGTAAACAGATCCTCTACACTGCGATTCAAAGATTTTCAACATTATATATGATAATCCATATAGCGGTATGGTTCTAAACTTGTTGTTGTGGGTGGGCTTGGTGTTCATATATGTAACTATGTTCTGTCAATATGCTGCTATTTTGGGCAGGTCTCTCTTGAAAAAGAGGTTTTAAATTCCATTGAGATCATCAGGTTATATGAAGGTTAAATAAATAAATAAGGAGTAAGGAGGAAACCTGTGGTCAAGGAGGCATGGAGTGTTTTATACCATTATTAAGAGCCTAGACTGTAGTGTAAGCACAAAACATTGTGTTTTGATTTTGTGCTAAGCTGTTGCTGTCTCTCTTTGAGAACTAAATGTTGAGATTATAATAAGGTAAATTATAAAACATTATTATAAAATAATATCTTTCTTTAGTACACTTTACATACTAAGGCTATAACTAACAACAATTTTCATTATCTAATGATCTGTCAATTATTGTCACGATTAATTAATTAATGACACTCACAGTTGCTCAGTCCAAATTGACATCTTCAAATGTCTTGTTTTGTCTGAACAGCAATCAAAACCCAAGTTTACAGTTGTAGAAGATAAAGGAAACTCAAAAGAATTGTTGCAAATGAATTTTCTGTCGATTAGCTGATTGATAAACCGTGTCGCATGTCTAGTAGATACATATACTGTATATAGATATAGAGAGAGCTTTTCTTTACTGATTTGAAGTTAGATTGCGTCTCCCATTGTGATCACATGGACAAATAATGAGGTTTACAGTTTGTAATACTTTGTAAAAAGTGCTAGCAATACTGTTTAAATGACCTGTTGTGAAAATTCTGATTTGGCATACTTAAGTTGTAAAGATTCATATCTGGGTAAAAATGCGCAATTCAGTCTGCGTCATTGTAGCTTTGAAGCAGTGACATTACGAGTACACAGCATGTGTCTGAGCCCCTTCCTGGAGCAGATGCTTGTAAGAAGAAGCATCTCAGCCTGCTGCAGTCATCCTGACTGACTGACCCAGCGTCGCTGCCGTTTTAAATCTGGATTAGTTATGTAACTAGGATTTATCCTTCTCTTAAACGGGGATCTTGCACAGTTCTCTCTCAAGATACAAGCAGATTGTCCTCTTACACTACTGTCTCTCCCTCTGTCACTTTCTGCTCTTATTACCTCACTTTGAGCCCTCCCTGCTTCTCTCTCACCTCCCAGCCGTTACACAGATTAACTGCACAAGAGTCTGTCATCACATACTCTTTTTCACAAAACACTTCCCACTTTTACTCTTCCATGAAGATGTGATAAGACTTGTCTTGCTCAGGGGGCACCTTGGCAGCAGTTTCTAAAGGAGGAAGCAAAGTGTTACTCACATTCTTTACCCAGACAAGAAAGGCAAGGTCATAATCTAGATGGGACACCACCAATTCAGCGGTCACAAAACATTTACATAATTACTGCGGTACACCCAAGTACAGGCAAGGTTTCAAAAGATGGCCTTATATAGGTAAACATTTGTACTAGTTACCGATTCTTCCAGAAACATAATGGTCAAGTTTGGAACATTTGATTGTTATTAATCCAACAGGAATGACCTTCCAGATATTTGCTGGATGATTGTTTGGTTGACATTTACTCATAAAATGCTGATGGGTTTCCCACCGACTGTGTGGATTAGCAGCAATCTCTCCATGTACTTTAAGAGAGGTGTCACAGGTGTAGGACTGCAGCTAGATTTAATGCCCTGCAGCAGCTCCTCAGTCAAATCCAGGGTCATGTTAGATTAGGTTTCATTTTCAGGCAAATCTTTCAATGAAATCTCACTGCTCACTCCTCCAGGCCACCCCTAGTTCCTGGAATATAGATCAGGTTACGGGCTTGGTAGGAAAGAAGTGCTCAGTCTGCACACAGAAAGTAGCAACAGTAGCACCTGGTGGCCATGAAACAGAAGTGCAACAAGCTGCCCTAAACTCAGTAGTACCTGCCAGCCTGTATGTCCTTTAGCAGGAGCTTACAGTATGTGTGACTCTTTAATATGGCATGCTGAATGCAATAAGCTACTAGTATATACTAATATGATTGGAAGATGAGACTTGTCACCATAAGCTTCAAGAAAGCACAACATAGGAAGATTCCACATAACTTCAATATAAAAAAACCTGCAGGTACATTTAATAAAACTTGAAATGTAGAGAGGGATGTTAGCAACAGTAGTAGTGCATAAATGAATGAAGGGCGTGCTGTAGGAGTAATGTATGCTGTAATACAAGAGGAAAAGGATCAGAACCAAAGCTAAGACAAAAGTTGGCAGGAAAGATGCCGACAACTAACACCTGTTTATGTAACTTTGTACAGGGAAGCTTATAGACAACTGGCTGTCGAAAGGTTTTATAATCTATTTTGTCTCAATATACATTATTAGTTTATGTAATAACGTTATCTTGTGATCCTATGAAGTAATCCATAATTATGTTAATGATTTGAACCTCATCTGTTCAGTGTTTTTTGTTATTGCAGATCTAGGATCAGTGTTGGTTCCAAATCAGCTCCACACTTTTAACTATTATGTAAATAAAATCATTTTTTAAATAATGTATCATGCAAAGAGCTAATCTGTCCTAATTTATATATATATATATATTTATTTATTATTATAAACCTGGCAACACTGAGGAGTGTGCATCATACTGGATCAGATATGTTCAACATGACTAGCTGATATTAATTGGTTCCTGTCAATCACCTGAGAGCCAAAGAAAGAAATGCACCAGCATTAGATGATGTGTGTGTGTGTGTGTGTGTGTGTGTGTGTGTGTGTGTGTGAGAGTCAGACCACCACTGCTCTGGATTCACTCCCTCTACATTTGTGTATCCTTCTCATTTGTTTTGTTGTTTTCATCCAGTGTAGGCTGGTGATGATCCATCTGTGATTTGCAGACGTTGTCGTGTTCTGTGTTGTGACTGGTTGATGTGGATTGACTGACGTAGACGTGCTGCTAATTGGCGTATTAAAACAAGAAGGTGTGGAGTTTAGGAGGGGAGAGAGGTTGGCCGATTGATTCCTAACAGATACGTTTTTCTTCTTCTTGAGGGTCACAGACGAACCTGAGAGAATCAGCAGATCTCCGGTCACAAGGTGAGAAAACGTTTTTACATTTTTCCAACACTGACATGCAAAAGTAGAATAATCTTGAATTTCATGTGTCAGCAGAATTACATGCAGCCTGCTTTTTATAATTCATCAATTTAGCATGTACTCAAAGGACGTTAAAGGCCTTTAACATCATAGTTGATGCTGATCATAGTTCAACATTTTTGGAAATTATCTTATTTGCTTTCTTGCAGAGAAAAATAAATCTTCTATCTCGCTTAATACATACAAAAACGACAACTGGTCATTTTATTCGGGGTACATGTCCAGCACATACCCTCCATAAATCAGAAACTTGTCGCTTTCACACTGTTTCTGTCAGAATAAACAAAGAAGATGTTAATCGGTGAGCTTTAGAGGTGCTGCGAGGCTGATTTTGTTGCCTCTGTACAGAGTTAGGGTATCTGTTTCCCCATTTTCAGTCTTTATGCTAAGCTAAGCAGCTCCATATTTACGGTACAGACATGAAAGTGGTATGAATCAGCAAGAAAGCAAATTAGTCAAATTATTCCTCAAATTAAGTCTCTGTCTGACTGCTAGTCTGAAGGTAATATATTTCCTCTAATCTAATTCAAGTAAAATACATAAAGGTTCACACTGCAGCTGTATATGTTTTCATTTTTAGGTTTGACTGAGACCTGATTTTTTTATTTTATTTTTTTCTAAATGTCTGAAGTCAACATGGAGTCACACTTTTGCAAGTGATCCAACATGGGAACAGGATTACGTATCCAGCACAGATCCTGAATCATACTACTCAGGACATTTTATTTTTGTGATGAATTTTTTTTAATTGAATCTTTTTCTTTCATGTGGTGAGGACACAAGGAAAGACTAAATTTGAATGTGTTTATGTGCGAGCTGCGTGGTCAATTACCTACATCCGTTCACATTAAAACTTCTCTGTCCTGCATCTTGTAAAACACAGCTCATTAACATCAATAACTTGTTATAGCTGTTAATGGTCAAACACAAGAAGGAAGTTCAGAAAAGATTAAATGAAAATAAAGAATCGGATTACAAATATTAAACTTTTGTGTTTCAGTTGAAATTCAGTATTGTTGCTATTTCATGTCAGTAGTCTGAGACAACTACCGTTATTTTATTTGAAATTGCATGAAAAGCACATCCATCTTTTTCACTCACTGTTGATTACGGTCACAGCAAAAGACCATTGAAACCTGTATAAAAGTGATGTTGATCTCTCGTACTTCCATCTTATTACACTACATTTTTTCAGGGTTATCGGACTCAATTTATCAGTATGTTACTAAAGGTCTTGTGTACTTTCTCTCAGCCTCAGCTGCTACAGTCAAGTCTCAGTCTCAGGTTAAAAACAGCAGGTAAACCAGCAGCACTGGGCTAACGTTAGCCAACAGACTGTGGTGTGGTCATAGATGCACAGCTCCCTGTGGTAGATGATCCCTGCGAGTAGAACATTTTTGATTTAAAGAAAAGAAAGAAATTCTAATAATTTTATCGTGTCTAACAGCAGCTTAGTCCCTGAAACTCTTTACCCTCCCACACCAGCAGGCTGATGTTTAGAGATCTTTGTGTGTTAGTTGGTGCTCCAGTAATCAGTATTTTATTAATGTTTCTGTGTAGTATGTCATATGTTATCAATCCCCATATGACCCAAATCCTTCACACGAATATTTAATTTAAGGTGGGTTTGATTTATGTATCCCTTTGGTGGTGTACATCCGCTGTAGTATCTGGGGGGGGGGAGAGATGTTGTTGTTAAATTAGAAAATACACATTTACCTATCTGTGACTTAGGTAGCTATGTAGAAATATCAAAATCTACTGTATGATGCTAATCTTTTTTCTTCTCCTCCCTTTTCCCCTAACCCCTCATACATTCACATCCATACAACCATACATTCACTTGCCTTAAACTCAAATACCAACATTTATCCTTAAATCCTTCATTTATCTGACCTCCTGCCATCGCACCTCTCCTCCTGCCTCATGTTGATTTTTGCCAAACCTTTAACCCCCACGCCACCAACATATACATCCCATATCAACCTTGCCCTGTCCTTTTTATTTTCCTCCTCCATCCTCCGTTTGCATCGCCCCTCCCCTTTCAGTCGCCATCTATCTGGGCATCAGAAAGCGGCCGAGCCCCGGACCCCCCGATGCGGCTGGGATGTGAGGGTGCGGAGCCCCCGCGACCCGGCCGAGGTGGTGCTAGCACTGCGTGAGGCGGCGCAGGGCTGCGGCTGCCAGGTCCACCTGGCCGGGCCCTTCCTCCTGTCCTGCACCCACGGAGCAGCCGGCGCCCGCGTGGCCTTCGAGGCCGAGGTCTGCCAGCTGCCCAGCGGGCTGGGCCAGAGCAGCGGTGTGAGGTTCAAGCGCCTGTGGGGGGCACCGTTAGCCTTTAGAGACATCGCCACCAAAGTGTCCAAGGAGCTCGAGCTCTGAGGGCAACAGGAGGCGGGGTAGATTGATGATGGAACAGGACAGGTTGATGAATGAGGAGGGATAAGGGGGAGGAGGAATAATGAGGCAGAAACCATCGGCGCCGCCGCCTCCTCCTCCTCCTCCTCCTCTTCCTCCCCGGGCCCTCCTCATCTGATGTGGCTAGCGATGCCTCGCCTCCGCCAAAGACCCACTTCTTCTGATGCCACCAATCACAACGAGACAAACGGATGCACAGACACGGATAGACCGCCATCGGCAGGCTTATGATGACCCTTGACCTTGGAGCTGTCAGTGACCTACGACCCCTGCTTAAAACACACCACCTCCATAATATGTGAGCCCATGGAGTCACAGGTTTCTTTTATTTCATGATTTCATGTTTGATGAGGAGGGTGTTGCTGAGAATGATGGAGACTGATAATTTGTTGTTGTTGTTGTTGTTGACGTTGTTATTCCTATTGTATCATATTTGTCGTCATTCCTTTTTAAAGAGCTGCTATTTAAAGAAATGTTTTAATTTTTGTGTAGTAAGTTTATTTTATTTCTTTAAAGCTTTTAAAATGGGCAGAAATTTGACATCTGTTGTCCTTCTCGGGAGCATACGTGACATATTTAAGAAGAGGGGGAGGCGCAGTGTTACCTCCGGCCTCTAGAGGGAGACATGCAGAAATGCAGAGACTTGTGACAGACTGAATGATGCATCACAGCCTTTCTGCCCATCCACTGATCACGCCCATTTTACTGCTCAGTTGGGATTTTGATGTTTGTTTGTACCATTTCTTGTAAAATGTTGCTTCCCTGCCTGCTATCCACACTGAATCCTCTACCTGTGTATCGATAGCTGGCAGGTGAGCTGCTTAGAGACGAGCAAAGCTGCCTAAAAATACAGGACACAGCTCATGTGTTGTACTTGATAACCTGATTATTAGAGCTTTTGCTCTGTTTCTTTAGCCCCAATGTTTTGTCCCTTTCTGCCCTTATTAAAAAGCAAAAGTCCTTAAAAATGTAAAATTACAAAATGGTGTTTATTACACAAGCCTGTATTTATTTTACAGGAGTTTGTGATCACGAGTTGGATGTACGCAGGTGAAAAAGAGCCAAGTAGCATCATTTTACCTGAAATGCCTCCATTCAGCAGGTTAAGTTTATTTAAATTAGAAAAGCAGGTTTTGTTATTATCTGATGTGATGGAAATTTTACACAAAATCTTAACTCCTTTTCCTGCTTCAACCTGATTCAACGTGGAGCTGAAACGCCTTCACTTCAATGTCACACTGTTAAAGGTTAAGCAACCACTGTTTGTCTTTAAACTCCTGGAAAGGCAGTGTGTCTTTTTTAAAAGATGACCTTCAAGCCTTTTCATCAAAATTTGATCTCTTAGTCCAAACACATAATTATGGAAGCTCATACTGTTGTAGAGTAAATGGAGGAGTAGTTTACTGACATACAGTAGTTAACCTAGTAGCACTTTGGCATAACAGTAACAAAGTCTGTCAGAATGCCGACGTTCCTCAAATGTAGTGCAATACAGCCACAAAGCCAAGAATCAAGACTTGAATAAGCATTGATTAAGATTTAATAGGGCTTCTTGTTTGATTTATTTTTTTATTTTTATTTTTTGATATTGCTGATTTGTTGTTAAAATTCTTTGAGCACTTTTTTGCTTTTTAGCCAGGATTGCATTGTACTGTACGGGCAGAGTTTTTAATTATACTATATATTTCTTTTTTTGTATATTGTTAAAAAAAAATCACACTATTTCCTTCATTTTAAAGCCAACTGAAGTGAATAATTGACATTCTGAATGCGCTTTTTCCTTTACTTGATTTACCTACCTACAATGACTTCTTGGCATCATTCCCTTCCCACAGTTAGACCAGTGAACCTGGAATGATGACTTCAGGTTTCCAGGTAGAGGTGCCATTTGGATGCCACAAAGTCATATGAAGGAAACTGAGGTACAGATGTATTACCAAATTAAAAAAAATAAATAAATCTGTCTTCATATAGTTTTGTCAGATTTAACCATTTTCTTTTGTCCAGTACTACAATTTTATGTGCTTAACTTCAGTCCCGCTTTTGATATACAGAAACTGTGGACTTTTCCCTCTGTCAACCAATCAGAATGCAGCACTGCTGAGACGTATATGACTGTTCAGATTTGATTATTGCTGGAAGAGGTGTATGACTGTTAACCAATCAGACTCCTGCATCAACAAGCCACTGTATAATTTCAAAAGCGTGCAGCGATGAGAATGTGACCTTCAGTGACCTTTTGAAAAATTGGATTCTGATTTTCTTTGATAAAAGCGCTTCGTTGCTCCTTACAGAACAAATCTAGCGGTATTCGACAAATACACACAGTCCACCAAGTGCTACATTAATCATATATTGACACTGACGACTCCAAAATCAAAAGGTTGTTGTACTTTATTGTGACTCTATAAAGGCAAGTGATTATAACTTGTACTTCTGAAGTATGCAGCATCTAACAAAACAC